AAGTTTAGTGCTCTACGTGTGTACAAGTACCTATTCTAGTATGGACAGTAAGAAAGGCCCCTTAAGGAAAAAAGTCTGTTATATTTGTTGAGCACCTATTACATATGACACAATATATAAGTACACCTGCTAAACAAGACATGAAAGAGAATTAACATATATAGTGCAGTGTGATATCTGATATGTAAAAGGTAAGCACAGGGGTATTTGAATAAATACTAGGAATCAGGGAAAATGTTCTGAAAGAATAATAATAAGTGATAGCTATTATTCCTATGATGCCATATGCTCTAAAAAGAGGCAAAGTGGGTTAAGTGGTGACCCTCCTCCACCAAAGAGACATGTCCACATTCTAATCCCCAGAACCTGTGAATATTGCCTTATATGACAAGAGTGCATATCACCTTATATACAAAAGGTGTGATTAAGATATTGAGAGATAGTTTTTCCTGAATTATCCAGGGTGGGGGTGGGGGGGCTAATTGAAAATACATGCATCCTTATAAATATAAAGCAGAGAGTTTTAAGACCTAAGAGGAGGAGGTAGGCAATGTGACTACAGATTAGATCCACAAGCCAAGGAAATCCTAGAGCCACCAGAAGTAGAAAAGGCAAGGAAGAAATTCTTCCTTAAAGCCATGGGAGGGAGCACAGTTCTGCTGACACCTTGATTTTGTGCACTGGCCTCCAGGACTGTGAGAGAATACTTTATCTATTATCTATCTATCTATCTATCTATCTATCTATCTATCATCTATCTATCTATCATCTATCTATCTATTTATCTATCTATCTATCCATCACCCAGTTTGGGGTAATTTCTATTAGCAGCCACAGGAAACTAGTATAAAATTAAACCAATTTGTGAATGTAGGGAATTGCTTTCTGGGGCAGAAGGACCCTTTGAAAGGAGGGTATCTTAGTTACTACTACCATATGTAAAATATCAAAAAACAAAATAAAAAACAAAACAGAAAAAAAGGATACCAGACATTGTAAAGTATATATGTATATATATATATATATATTCTTTTTTTTTTTCTGGGAACTCTAAACTTTAGTAGTTGTGGGAAGAAGTAAGAGATGGAATCAGAGTATAGGTTAAGTTCAGTCAGGTTTTTAAATGGCATAGCTAAGGAGCCGAAACTTCTCTAGGCCCTAGATATTCAGATGGTGGTTCTTAGAGCAGCCGCTGGAGCTGCAACATTACCACAGAGATTTCTAGAAATGCAGAATTGGGGGCCACATTCCAAATCTTCAAATAAAATCTAATTTTAACAAGATTTCAGGGTCATTTGTATGCACTCTCACATTTAAGAAGCTTGCCTCTAGGGCAATGCTATTGGGAGATTTTCAAAGATTTAAAGCAAGTAACTGACAAGGTAACATTTGCATTTTAGGTCAACCAATCTGGTGGTATTATGAAGAACACATTTAATTGGGATAAAACCCAAGGCAGAGACGAGTGACTGCAATAGTACTAGCAAGAGATTATGAAGTTCTGAATGAAGATGGTGGTAACAGAGATGACACATAGAAGACAAAATTTTAAGAAATATTTAGACCCTAGTCTAACATGTACTAATGTTATTCACTCCTAGGTTCTGTGATATGTCCCACTTCTTTGTGCTTCTGTTTCTAACAGGATCTTAGAGGGTTTACTACTGTCATAGTTTCTGTTGAAATACCAACAGATGACAGAATGCTCAACCGAGCAAAGCCATTCTCCCTTCTATATGCAGGTTGACAAAAGAATGTATTTAAGATATTTTTACATGATCCTTTGAGGCTTCAACCAGATCAAGGATATTAAAAAAAAAAGAGAGAGAGAGAGATTGAGAGAGAGAGAGAGAGAGAGGATCAGAGAAAGTAAAGGAGCAGCTTCTTTGGAGAGCTGCCATTGTGTCATGGACACTGTCAAAAAAAAAAAAAAATCCACAGGCCCCAAATGGAGTTATGTTAAGGCCTCATATCAAGACTTAATACTTAACTGTAGTTTCAATTCCCCCCTAGAATATAATCTTTAATCAGTCAACGTGGAATTTCCCTGACAGCACTAGAAGATCTATAAACAGACTCCTCCTTTCCCCTTAGGAGGGCAACTTTGCCTAAAATAATGCATTCTTTGCCAATAATCCTCTTTTCTTACTCTCTCTCTCTGCCTTTGAAAACCTTCCTTTTTTCAGCTCAAGGGAGCTCTTTTTTATTTGCTAGATGGGATGCTGCGTGATCCATAAATCATTCAAAAAAACCAATTTGATCTTTTAAATTACTCAGTTGATTGTTTAACATTACCCACCCTCTGAGGGTAATAGGCATAGTATAGGACCTTCTAACCTCAAGTCTAGTGAGGAGTACTGCCAGGGGACCATAGGAGAGCTTTGAAATGTGTTTTCTGCCATTGGAAAATGCAAATAACAAGTGTTGTCCTGCTGCCCCCAAAATCTTAAGTGGACTATTGACTGAGGTTGACTGATTCTACTACCCCTGCTCCAGAAAAATATAGAGGCTAAGGGGACAACTGGTTCCCTGGTGGTCGAGCCAGGAGAGTGCTGTCGGTTTAGGACCAGCCTTTATTCCTAAAGCTTCCTAGGGCAGGGAATGTAAGCCAAGGAAAAAAAGAGCTAGAGTGGATTCATCTTGGGTTCTGTGCAAAAAAGCCATCTGGAGGAGTAAAGCGTTCCTCTCAAAAAGGAAGTGTAGATGCACTTCAGGCTTCCCAGGACTTGAACAAGGAAAGATGCATCAGCTAATGAATTGCCAGAGTTGGAAAGATCTAATTGGGAACCTTCAAGGAGTCCTCAGAGGTGTCTCCAAAGAGAGAGATTCTGTTTTAATCATTTACCAGATCTGCAAGAGGTTCCTGCCTTTAGACCCAGGTAAGGAAACCACTAGGGTTTGCAGTGAAGTAAGAAATGTCCAATATCTCTTGACTTTCTGTCGTTCTCTCACCTCCTAAGGGCTGTATGTGGCCTTGGAAACATTAGCAGTATGTTGTCATGAAATGCAAAAAGAAGAGAGAAGGCCCAATCCACTTTTTCAGTTCAGGCTTTCAGCTCTAAGGAGGCTTAAGCTATTGCAAGAATTAATACTAAACCAATTATGAATTTTCATTATTACACAGTAACAAATAGTCTAGTATTAAACAGTCTAATTACTGAATTATGATGGTGTCTGTGACCTAAAATGACAATGGAGAGATATATAAAGTCAGCAATAACAACAACAATAAATCCATAGATCCTGCCAGAGTTTTGAGCCAGGAATAGGTACCCTACCCAATAAAATTTAAAGGAATGGTGAGGAAAAAAAAATTCGTTTTAGTTATGTGAAAAGCTGTACTTCAATACAGAGATCAAATTAAAATTTTAGTAAATATTGTTCTTACTTAAAATACTGTTCTTTAAGTTTGTAATTCCTGGCAAGTTGAGTTGGTTCATTTAGGTTAAAAGATGGCTAAACAGAAATAGAATTTTGGGACTGATGTCAGCTGTGGGCAGTAGTAAATACTGTTCATGTCTGTGGGAGGTGGTCTCAACATACAAGCTTGGTACTGTTAGGATATAGTTATCTACTTCCAGGGTCTTACATTATGAGACAATATTATACCATTTTTGCATTTATAAAAGGAAACACTTTAATTAGTGCTACACACACAATGAAAAAGCGTTGCTTAATCTTGTTTTGCTGATATATGTATTTATAATTTCTTGCTGTGTCTTTGTGAAAGCTTAAAAGGAAAAATTCTCCCACGGAGCACATATGTCAGAGTTTATTTTTTAAAAATTCACATTAGTGGTTGTTAAGTAACTAGGCCTGTTCAGAGTTGTGTAAATCTGAGACTTTATGTTCAGGTTAGGACAATTTTCCTTTTTGTTTATTAATTGAACCCAGATATAAACATTTTAAATGTGGTATTGGTGAAATCAATATCACATTTTTTTAAAAGATTTTACTTATTTATTCATGAGAGACACACACACACACACAGAGAGAGAGAGAGAGAGAGAGAGAGAGAGAGGCAGAGACATAGGCAGAGGGAGAAGCAGGCTACATGCTGGGACTTGATCCCAGGTCTCCAGGATGACGCCCTGGGCTGAAGGTGGCGCTAAACCGCTGAGCCACCCGGGGATCCCCCAACATCACATTTTTAAGGAAGAACTTATTTGTAAGCAACTCTGAATATATGAATATATATCTTAAGTACCAACATACTAAAAATAATTTTTTCTCTTTTTCTTTCTTCTGCATAATAACAAAATAAACACTAACAAGAGCTGTAACCAAAATGAGTCCCTTCTCCTAGTTTAGAAAACATGATAACCCTAGACCATAAGCCATTTAATAAAGAAGAGAATAAGGTAACCCTGGACTACTTTGTCATTAGATCTTAGGGCATTAAGTCCTTAAGAAATTCCACATCTTGCCAAAAGATGGCGCTCCTGGATCCAGCAAAGAAACTGAAAAGTCCCAGAGAAGATAAAAGCACTTTTTCAGGGATCCGTGGGTGGTGCAGCGGTTTGGCGGCTGCCTTTGGCCCAGGGCGTGATCAAAAAAAAAAAAAAAAGCACTTTTTCAGATACTGAGAAACTGTCCATTATCAAGTGGCAAGAGCCTTTTGATAGCAAAAAAAAAAACCTCAGCTTTAGAGGGTGTGCCGAATTGCCTTCAGACATTGTCTTCCAGATAGATTGTCAACCTTTTAAGTCTCCTTTCCTTACTATGAAATCTACATAATAAAAATGAGAATAATTAACGCTTGTAGAGTTCCAGGAAGAAATGCTTAAAACAATGCTTGGCAAATAGGAGATAGGTGAGCAGTGAAAGCTAGCTATTATTTGTTAAAAGCCAACAGTGTTTGTCTTGTTTGCTACTCTGCTGACTCATAGTAGGTTCTCTCTCTCTATAGATAGATAGATAGATAGATAGATAGATAGATAGATATGTATATATACATATATATTACTTGAATGTGTTGACCTTAAATGGAGAACAGCCAGTTATTTTATCAGCAATGTGTTTATTCAGTAATAGTAGAGGAATTGCTATTTGGACACGCAAGCTATGGGAAGCTACTGGCAAGTCCACAGATCAAATGAGAGAAACATTATAAAGAAAAGGAAGAAGTTGGGGGTTGGGGAACTGCTGTGAATGAAAATTCACTGGAGAAAAGTGAGAGTCCAGGGTCCTGATGATTTCCCATTGGCTGAGTTGTGATATTTTCTTATTGGCTGCACTTGTGGTTGGGTCTGGAGAAATTCTTCTTCCTGCTGGTTTCTTTTCCTGTTAGGGATGCAAGATATCTCTCCTTTTGAGTCTGCAATTGACAAGGAGTCCTAGGGCATGAAAGCTCCCCCTTTGTCTCTTGACTCCATTTCAAATGAGGTTTCCTTCACTCAGTTTCAGAAGTGAATGGATGAATGAACCTTCACATCAACGTATAGAGTTAGCTAAAGGAAGCTTTCATTCTGAACCTCTTGAACCTATGAAGTCAGAATCTTATGCCTGACTTAACCTTGCTCTTCCTGACCAATGACTATAATAACCACCTGTCTGATCTGTGATTTGATTGACTTCAAGCATATCAGTCTTGTTTAAGCTGTCAAGGTAGAATTTCCATCTCCAGCCTATTTTGTCATTTAAGTCCTATATCCCTACTATATCTTACAAAGAACAACAGAAAAATTACACTTCATATCTAAATTAGGAAGAGCTAAACCTATCAAAATTCAATTAAAAATTATTTTAAAGAGAAATGACATTAATAAGTGGCACCTTAACATTTAAATCTTATAATTTCAATTGAAACTATAATGGTATTATTTCCTCAGGGACGACTCCTTAACACATTCATGTAAAGAAAGAATGTTCAAAATATAGGGGCAATTTTTAACAACTTCAGTGTTCCTTATGGAGGTCTTTTTTTTTTAAGATTTATTTATTTATTCATGAAAGACACAGAGTGAGAGAGAGAGGCAGAGACACAGGTGGAGGGAGAAGCAGGCTCCACGCAGGGAGCCCAATGCGGGACTCGATTCTGGATCCTGGGGTCACGACCTGAACGGAAGACAGGCACCCAACCGCTGAGCCACCCAGGCGTCCCTCTTTTTTTTTTTTTAATATTTTATTTATTTATTCATGAGAGACACAGAAAGAGAGAAGCAGAGATATAGGCAGAGGGAGAAGCAGGCTCCATGCAGGGAGCCCAATATGGGACCTAATTCTAGGACTCCAGGATCATGCCCTGAGTTGAAGGTAGACAAGCTTAACCACTGAGCCACCCAGGTGTCTCCCTTATGGAGGTCTTAGTAGTTTACATTCTTTCTTAGGGAAGTCTTACACATTTACTCAATCCCCAAAATCACTGAACTGTTACTATACAGCTTCGTTTTTCCTTCACTGTCATTGCTGGCATTATAATCTACTGAAAAACTTTCAATTTTATTTCCTAGCTGTGGTCCAACTTAAAAAAGAATTCATTAAAAGTCAGTAAGCCTGGTAAAATCTTCCTATTTATATATACTGGGCAGTTAAAGAAAAAAGAAAATGTTTGTTATCCCATGCCAATCTTAATTTTCTTTGTGAGATGCTTCATAATCATTCAGAATGTTTTAAAATATAAACTTACAAAATCAGTAGTTGGGAAACACCTTTTTAAAAAAATGATTTAATTGCAGGGATTGAAAACAACGAATTCTCCAATGAGAAAAGTGAAAATTTAGGTGGGGTATAGTAAAGAACTAGAACCTGCCCAAAGAGAAGGCCTCGTCTTTGCCTTCAGCCTTTTAAGATGTGGTTATCTGAGGGTCTTGGTTCATACTTAGTCTAACAATGTGATTTAGGTTGGGGACTGGCAACACCTATATAGTCTTAGGTTGGGTATTGGTCAGTGGAAAAGACCAACAATATGACTTTGGGTGGGGGCTTTGGGTCACATAGTATCAGTAAACCTGGAAACTGAGATTTACCATGTGGGCAATCAATTGATCAATTATGCCTACATGACAAAACCCCTTAAAAATTTTTGGACACCAAAAAAAAATTTTTTTGGACACCAAGCTTAGGTGAGCCTTCCTGATTCATGGTACTCTATGCATACTGTTACACACTGATGCTAGAACATTAATGTGTCCTGACTTCATGGCTAAAGATGACTGAATCTCTGCGTTTGAAAGTCTCTTAAACTGTTTTACGTGTGCCTTCCTTTAATCTTAATCTGTATCTTTTCCTTTTAATAAGCCATAACCATGAGAATAATAGCTTTTAGTGAGTTTTATGAGTCTTTCTGAAAATTACTGAAACTGGAGAAATTTGGGAGAACCACTCCACCTTCACCCCCTCCCTCTTGCAAACTTGCAGTAAGTATCAGAAATGAGGGTGGTTTTGTACCTCTAACTTTGTAACTGGCCTAAACTTCTCATAGGGCATTTTCAGGTTTGTTAGAGAAGAAAGGTAACAGCAGGTTAACTTGACCATCACTTTGGAAGTATCAAGCTGTACTACAATGGTACAGGATGGAAGTTGTCCTGACTTTGCCTACTTTTAAAATGAACACAATCTCTCTTTGAAACTAAAGATCATTAACACCTGTAATGCATATTATTATATAATAAACACCTTTTTACAAACTTTTATGAGATTTTCCCATAAGAAAAGATTTTTAAAACAGGTTGAAAAACAACCCTTTGAGGTATCAACAAGCCTCATAAATTAAGGCCAGGGTGGCAACAACATGAAAAAATGCTGAGTGACATACTATGTGATTTCATTTATATGAATTTCAAAACCAAGAATAGTAATCTTTGTTGATAGAAGTCAGAATAGTGGCAACTTTAGGATGGCTAGGGTAGGGAAGGGAGATTTAAATGCTGACTTGGAGGGTTATAAGGGAGTGTTAAGGAGTGTTGGAAATATTCTCTATCTTGATTTGGTAGTAGTCACATGAGGTAGATACAGTATTATCCATTTAAAATATATACTTTAGTCCACCTCAATTTTGAAAAAAAAAGCTATACCTTATTTAAAAACTCAAGTCCTTCACCACGTAATAAAGGAAACACTGAGTATTAAAGGAAAAGTATATTTAATTGACAAACACTTGGTATCTACTAAGTCAAGCTAGTACTTATGGATACAGCCTAGAGCAAAAAACAGAAACAAAACCTGTTTATAGACTACTGAGTCAGCCATTCTTAGGCTACTACTAGCAACAGTATGGACTTGTAAAATTCAACATGGTTTTATTCTCTAGAATCAAACTTACAAAGATGCCTTTTATGATTTTCCATACAAAAGGCTTATAAATAAATCCTACCTATTCTTATATGCCCAGCTTGATACTCACTTTTTTTTGCAAAGGTTTTTAATCTCCTGAGGCCAACAGTGGCCTATCTTTACTTTGGATTCCTTTTGTACTCATAAAGTATCACACAACTCAGCACTTAATAGTTCTTGAATAGTCTTGTGTTAAATTTCTCTCCTTTTCAAACTATAAGTTCCTCTAAGTTCCTTGAGAATCGAGATTATATCATACTTTTCTTTGGAAAGTTCACAATGCTTAACAAAGTGTGGGTTATGTGATACATGTTTAATTACTTGTGGGTAGAATGAATAGAAACTTCATTTTGACCTTATTAAAAATGCTTAAGAATAGTTTAAACTTCAGGAAAATTTAGTACTTAAAATAATTAATATCCATTATTATACATTGCGATTTTTTACTAGCTTAATTTTTATGTGCATAAAAGAGATAAAAGTTAGTCTTGATATTCTATTCTGTTTCCCATGGCTCTCAGTTCTGATAAGAAGTGAAGAGAGGCTATCCTTATCTGCTTAATACAATATATTTGCTTTAATTGAGAAGGAAAAGGATTGTGGGTGAAACATTTGTCTCCCAATATGTCTTTATCTCTCATGGTAACAGAACTCCTTAATTTTAACTGAATATATAGTTGCCTAAAATAAAAACTACAATTCCCAGCTGCCCGTGAAACTAAGTGTGGCCATGTGACTAAATGATGGGTGTACTTTCAGTTCAGGTTCCCAAAATAGGTCTCTCTGCTACTCCTCTTCTTTAGACTGCTACTTGGAATATAGTCTTGGTTGCAAGTCATCTCATATTATTAGAGGAGAACAATACCCTAGAAATTATAGAATAACAAGAAGGGACCTCGGTCTCTGGATGACTAAATCCTAAATATAACCACACTGTTCCAAGATTACTGTTGGGGAGGTGACTGAAAAGACATGACTGCTGGTTGACCCATGAGCTGAACCCCAGGCAATCAAAGGCACCCCTCCCTGTCCTCTGTCTTTGAAATATGAGTTCTGCTTTCCTTCTTGCTCCCAGAAGCTGCCCTGAGGACATAGCCTTGAGATAATGATGTGGTGCTGAGACTAGTTAGACAGTATAAGACAGTATATATACTTGACTAAACCTAGTTAAGGCCTCTATACACACTTTTTACGATTTGACAGGTGGGTGTAGGGATCCACGTGTCTTGTACCCTAAAATAAGCTATGTATGTAAGTCTCCTTTAGTTATTAAAACTGACACTTACCAACCTGGAGTGCCCTTCCTCTTTCTTTTCTCTCTTTCTGCTCTCCAAATACAGGGACCAGCTTCAGATTATATTGGAGATACTCCCAAGGAGGTTATAAACCAAAGATTACTTACCTATCTTGTTTTGTGAGAGGAAAACTCTATTGCTACTGTCATTTTGGGTTTCATACAGTCTAAACAATTCCCTAACTTATCTGTTAGGGGAATCACAGCATGGCAGCAGTTGGCAAGGAAAGATTCTCCCATTCCCACACAGTGCTTTAGGTAATAAATATGTTTCAGCCTCAAACTTTGGGTGGGTGATTTACTTGCATTAGAAAGGCAAACCTAGGGGATCTCTGGGTGGCTCAGCGGTTTAGCACCTGCCTTCAGCCCAGGGCGTGACCCTGTAGTCCCGGGATCGAGTTCTGCATCAGGCTTCCTGCATGGAGCCTGCTTCTCCCTCTGCCTGTGTCTCTGCCTCTCTCTCCCCCTCCCTCCTCTCTCCTCTCCTCTCTCTCTCTCTCTCTCTCTCAGTACAGGCAAAAGGAGAAGCAAGCTCCTTTCAGGGAGCCCAATACAGGACTCGATCCCAGACCAGGATCATGCCCTGAACCAAAGGCAGATGCTCAACCGCTGAGCTACCCAGGCATCCCATACTTAACTCATCTCTTACAGGGTCTTTCCTTCTATCAATATCTTGTAAGTTTGCTTGTTTTTCTATCTTAAAAACACACATAGACAAAAGTCTTTCTCTGGACCCTAAAATCTCCTCCATTGCTCCTTTTTTCATGTGTTTATTAGACAAAAATGATTCTCATCCCTGTCTCCATTTTCTCTCTTCTCATTTATTCTCTTAATTTGCCATCTGATTTCCAAATCTATCTATCAAGTTACTATAATTGCTTCCAATTCATCAATTATATAAATCTCCAAAGACATTAACTTAGTCTCTGTTCTCCTTGACTTTGAGCAGGAATTAACCTTGTTGATGACTTTTTAAAAAAATGATTTTATATATCTTTACTAATCTCTTTCCTCTTTGGCCACCCTTTCTTTCTCCTTTGCTAGCTTCCTTTCCTCCTCTGAATCACAATGGTAGTGCACCTGAATTGTTTTGATCTTTTTCCTAATGATATTATTTTTTTCTGAATTTTCTTTAAGACTACCCCTCTCCACATTCTATCCTTACATTAGATTTACTATAGCTTTCACTTTATAAAAAAAAAAACTCCCTATCTTACCATTTATTCTATTGAATTTCACATTTCATCCCATATGACCTTGTTCCTTGAACTCTTCCTCCTCCCATCTATACTGCTTCCTCTCTAGACCTGCTACACAGCCCTTTCTGGAATGTTTTTTAGCTTCTAAGATTGGTACAACCTTTTCCAGAATTCCATTTTTCCTCTTAGTTTTCAGCCTTATTTTGCTGGAATTTTTCGCTGGAGTTTCTATCCTTAGTTTGCTGAGGTAAAGATCACATGGGAGGAAAATGTTCTGCAGTTCTACATCCTTGATGATCTAAAAATAACTTTATTTTGCTCTTAGTTAATTGCTCTTTAGTTAATTGCTAAATTGAATGAGTATAGATTTTTAGACTGAAATATATCTACCATTATAATATTGAAAATATTCTTTTTTAAAAAATTTTTTTAATTTATTTATTTATGATAGTCACACAGAGAGAGAGAGAAAGAGAGAGGCAGAGACACAGGCAGAGGGAGAAGCAGGCTCCATGCACTGGGAGCCCGATGTGGGATTCGATCCCGGGTCTCCAGGATCGCGCCCTGGGCCAAAGGCAGGCGCCAAACCGCTGCACCACCCAGGGATCCCTATTGAAAATATTCTATCATTGTCTTCTAGTATCCAGTGCTGTTGATAGGTCTGATTTTTTTTTTTTCTTAAGAGATGGAAAGAGCCAGAGTGCAGGGGAACAGGGAGTACCATAGGGAGAAGGAGAGAGAGAATCTCAGGCAGGCTCCTGACCCAGAGTGGAGCCCAATGTGAGGCTCAATCACACAACCCTAAGATCATGAACCTGAGCTGAAATCAAGAGTCAGATACTTAACTGACTCAGCCACTCAGGTGCCCCAATTGGTCTGATTTTTATTCTTTCATTGATAATGTATTTTTTGTGCTTAGAAACTTGGGGGATTTATTATCATTAATATTATTGACTATTATTATTCCTAGTTTTTATTCTTGGTTTTACATGATAATATCTCCAAGTATGGATGTTTTTTCACCTATTTTCTGGTGCCCAGTAGTCTACTCAATCTGAAAACTTGTTTCCTTCTACCTTCCAAAAAGACCTCTTATAATTAAAACATTTTTTTCTCGCTTTTCTTTTTCTAAATCTCTTTCTTTTCTAGCAGTTGAATGTTAGTCTACTGGATTGGCTATCTATGACTCTTATCTTTTCTCATATTTTCTGTTCATGTCTTTGTATGCTTGTTCTAGACTTCTTCAATTTTATCGCCAGTATTTTCCCTTGAATTTTGCATTTAAGTAACTGTTTTTTGTGTCTCAGAACTCTATTTCATCCATGTTTGCTTCTTTTTCAGAGTACCTTTTATGTAGCTTAAGGATATAATATATTCTGAATACTGAAATATATAAATTGGAGTGATTTTTTTTTAATTTTATTTTTATTTTATGATAGTCACAGAGAGAGAGAGGCAGAGACACAGGCAGAGGGAGAAGCAGGCTCCATGCACCGGGAGCCCGATATGGGATTCGATCCCGAGTCTCCAGGATCGCGCCCTGGGCCAAAGGCGGGCGCCAAACCGCTGCGCCACCCAGGGATCCCTGGAGTGATTTTTAAAAATGTTCCTTTTCATTTTATAAATTATATCTGTTTCCTTTAGTTTCTTTTTCTGTTTTTCTTAGTCTTTCTCTTTCATAATGGCGATTTTCCTGTTGATTTTTTATTGTATGTTTATACATACACATACACACATGCAAATACATTTATGTAAACATGTGTTATACTATATATAACATTTTATATAAAAATATTTTTATTTACACATTACCTATAATATATAAAATATATAATATATTAATACATGTATGTCCATAAATATATATTTGACAAAATATATATTTATGTTTATAATCTTAAAATACATTAAATTTAAAAATTAAAAATATAAAAAAATATAAACTGGTCATTGATAATGGTTTTCCTTTGCTTTCAATAAGTAGGATGTCTTCCACTTTTCTCTCCTATATAGGAATTGTGAACAAGTAGCTGGGTTTGGTACTGTAGGACCAGGAATGCTAAATATCAGGTTTTACTTTAAGATGAGTAGGCAAGCAACTAGCTCTCTGGATGCTGGCCCTGAGTACCAGAATGAGAATGGTATTTCTCTTTGTTGTCAACACAAAAGCTTTCATTTCCTCTCTACTATTTACATAATTCATTTCAAGAAGACTTTTGGGGTCATTTTTGGTTTCTATGTTTGGTGGCAGGTGTCTTTGTCTACAAATGAAGAAGGAAATGTGTGTGGTGCCTGAGTCAAGTGTAACATATTTCGAATGTTATCCCTATTTTCAGCCCTTATTCTCACTTCTGCTCTCTGCCATGCCTCAACCAACTCTTTTATAACTACTTTGCTGTATTTTTTGGCAATGGTTTTGGGTGTTATTCCAGAGAATATGGTCTCTTTCTCTACTATTAGCTTTGTTTCTCAGGAAATTACTGAAGTTTCATTTTTCTTTTCTCTGTTGATCATACTTCTCTCTGTATAACACATACTATCTTTACTCTTTTCTTTATTCCTCAATGTTTCTAATTCTAAATTTTCATTTCAGCAGTGTATAGGAAAGAACATTAGGCAAATTACATGCCTAGTCCACGGATCGTGAACAGTAAGCCAAGAATAACTCTATAGATACTATAAGCATATATTTTGCCATTTGGATAAAACTTATTGCAGAATTCCCCATAGCTTGGCCACATGATCACCTCTACAAAATTCTTATTCAAAGGGAAATAGAATTATTTCCAGGGTAAAGGAAAGAGCTCACATTTCTTTAGCTGTTTGGTAGTCTAGCAAATTCAATTTATTAAGAAAGAGGAGGAAAATGGTGATTGGGTAGGCAACCACAGTGGCCATGATAATTTTTTTCTTCATATCATCATCATTTCTTAAAAAGGACTAGGGAAGCTCATTTTAGAACTGAGCATCCCTCAGAGGTTAAGTGTCAGCTACAGGTAAGACACTGCAGTGGAGTCCAGCAAAGATGGAATTTTAAGACCCAATGTTGTAAGCTGGAGTATGCAAAATGAAGGGGGGAACAACAGACTGAGAATAGGTAAAACCGAAAAGGTCCAGAAGCCGAGGCTGTGGGACACTGGTGAGCTGTGCAGACCTAGTCGACACATATACTGAGATATATTAAGAGACTACTGGGCTGCAAATGAGTCAGGAGCATATCAACCCGTTCTGACAACCCATGAGGTGATATGGCTGAGAATGAAAGGCTAGAATGCTAAGAATGACAGAACATAGAGATGAAAAGAAACAAAGACATGGAAGACTTTGTTGAGCCAATGAAAACATGTTGGAAGCACTTTCACCTTGAGATTTTCTGTTTTTGAGACAATTTTGAAAAAATTAAGGCACTATTAGTCAAATGATCTAGTTACATACACGTATATAATTTTACATATACGGATTTCATATTGTGCGTGTATTATTTTGCAAACAATTTACTCAGTTGTACTCTTTGATATATTTCTGTATCAAGCAACATAGCTTCATATCATACTTTTTTAATACCTATAAAGCATTCTACTTTAGAGATGTGCTGTACAATAATCCCCCTTTGTTTGTAGGGGATACATCCAAGACTGCCCCAGTGGATGCCTGAAACCAATGCTAGTACCAAACCCTGTATACACTGTTTTTTTCTTACATATGCATAGTTATGACAAAGTTTAGTTTATAAATTAGGCACAGTAAGATTAACAACGACTAATAACAAAATAGAATAATTACAATAAAATATAATAAAAGTTATGTGAATGTGGTCTCTTTCTCTAAATATCTTATTCTAGTGTACTCACCCTTCTTTTGATGTGAGATGATAAAATGCCTAGTGATGAGATGAAGTGAAGTGAATGATGCAGGCATTGTGACATAGCATTAGGCCACTATTGACCCCTTGATGATTTATCAGAAGAAGGATCATCCGCTTCCAGATTGTGGTTGACCTCATGTAACTGAAACAGCAGAAAGGGAAACCCTGGATAAGGGGCAAGACTACTATCATCAATTTAAATCAATCCTCTATTAATAATACATTTTTAAGTAGGAGTTTTAGTTGGTTGCCCAACCACCCATTAATTTCAACCCATGCTAGTCAATATTGCCAAGAGATTCATACAATCCCAATTTCTAATGGTCAGATCCTGGTTGCCTACAGTACTAAACTTCTTAAATTAAAAATCGAGTCTTCTTACATATTAGTTTCTGATTTTAACTTTATCGTCACTACCTTCCAATAAGCACCTTCTATTGTAGACAAACAGGTTATTCATTATAATGGAGTGCATCTGCAATCTTGTTTCCTTGTCTCTGCTCATGGCACTTTCTGGACAGTTTTCTTTCTATTCATTAGGAATTCTGTCATCAGACTCTTCCCACTAATATTTCCGAAAACCCTCCAGGGATTACAAAGAGGACAAAGATAGTTCTTAGAGTTCAGTGAAGTGTATTTCCCTCTAGGTCAGGACTGTCCAATAGAAATAAGATGCAAGCCACCTATGTAATTTAAAACTTTCAAGTAGCCACATTAAAAAAAATAAACAGGTAAAATTACTTTTAATATACTGACACAAATGTTAACACTTCAATATGCACTCAATATACTAATTAAGATATTTTACTTTTTTGGCACAAAGTTTCAAAATCCGGTGTATAATTTGCACTTAACTGCATGTCTCCATTTGAATCCACCATATTTCAAGGGTAAAGAACCGCATTTGGTTAGTTACCAAATGTAGCTAGGCAGGGCTCATTTGCAGTTTCCTTCTTCCTCAAGTCTTTGGAACTGTGATGATCTGTGATAATCTGTTATGTGAATTCCTAGCACTTATTGTTAGTAACTCTCATTATCAGGTGGCTTCCTCTCATTATTTATCTTTTAATACGTTTGTCTTGCCTCACAAGTTAACTTGTAAAAAAAATTTTTTTTTTAAGTCTAGGACTGATCCAACTTCAAAGTTGGGAATAACTAATAAAACTATGAACTAATTCTTTTGATGTATGGTTCCCCTGCAGCTAGTGCCTACCAAGTAAGCTTTCATGGGCAGCCCCGGGTGGCTCAGCGGTTTAGCACCGCCTTCAGTCTAGGGAGTGATCCTGGAGACACTGGATCGAGTCCCACATCGGGCTCCCTGCATGGAGCCTGCTTCTCCCTCGGACTGTGTCTCTGCCGCCCTCCTCTCTCTGTTTCTCATAAATAAATAAGACTTTAAAAAATTAAATAAGGTCAAATCCAGTGAATGAGGCATCCATACATCCTGAGGCAGACAACTTCTCTGACTAGTGCTGGAAGAATATTTCCTTTTCAGGATCTGAAATCTGTTTCTCTCAAAACTGCATTTCTTGCGATCACATGAAAGAAATCTAAAGTCACAGGACTAGTCTTTATTTGGAGACCTTCCAGTAGTTTTCTCTCTTCCGTGAAAATCCTCCCAAGTTCAATCAGTACTTTTTTTATGCATTACCTTTTGGGGTCCTCTTCATCATCTGCTCCCCTCTGAAATAATTCCAGCCTCTCTGAGTTTGTAATAAAGTGCTCAATCTAAGGGCACCTGGGTGGCTCAGCGGTTGAGCGTCAACCTTTGGCCCAGGGTGTGATCCAGGGTCCTGGGATCAAGTCCCACATGAAGCTTCCCACGTGGAGCCTGCTTCCCCCTCTGCCTTAGGTCTCTGCTTCTCTCTCTGTGTCTCTCATGAATAAAGAAGTAAAACCTTAAAAAATATGAATAAAAAAAAATAAAGTGCTCTATCTAAAACACCGAACTCCAGTTATGGTTTGGCCAATGAAAAGCATAACTGGATCACCACTGACTGCCTTTCTATAAAACACAGTTCCACTAGGCATCCAGACACACTCCTTATGAGGAGGGGGATGGAGGAGGAGGGAGCACGACCGTCAGTCAGGTCATGCCATCTTTGCACGCCCGATGTTTAGTCTAGAACTCTTGTATACACGTTCACAAGGGAGTTCTTGAGGTTAGTTATTATTATTATTATTATTTTTTAAAATATCGTCTACCTGTCTTTTCAAATGAGCCAGAGAATCTTCAGGTATTTTGTTTTCGGTGGGGACCGTCCGACCCAAGCACCTGCTGACAGAGAAAACCTGAAGAGAACTGAGCTGAGAACTGAGAGAGCTCAGGGCAAGCGGACGGGAGACCAGGGAACGAACTAACTGCATCAAGGGTCCAGGAGCCAGGCGCTCCGGCCGGCGATGGAGATCACGGTGACCCGGTCCCTCACGCTCCCTACTTCGCTTCTCTCCTCCACCTTTCACAGGAATCGTTAGCTGTCTTCACCTCAGGGAGAAGATCGGAGAATAAGATGCAGTCAACTCGAGTAACAGCAGGGAGGGCTCTTCGGGCGGTGACTAGAGGCGGCAGCGCGACGCGGTACCTGACGGCCGAGTCCCAGGGGCGCGCGCGCGCCCGCCGGCTCCTCTCGGCGGCTCTACGGGCGGGGGGCGGGGCGGCGGCGCGCGCGCGCGCGGGGCGGGGCCGAGGGAGCCGACGTGCTGACGTGGGCGCGGCGGCGGGCGGGTGACGTGTGGGCCCGCGCCTGCCCCGCCCCTCGCCGGCCGTGTGGGTCCGGACGGTGGTCCCGGCGCTGCGCTCTGTGGCTGCGGGCGACCCTGGCGGGCTCGGGTGGGGTGCAGAGGAAGGCGGAGCGGGGCGGCTGCCCACTGGCGTCTTCAGCTCGGCCCTCCGCTCGCTCCCCACCCGGCGTGGAAAGGAAAAATGAAAACGAAACAGAGGGGGGGGACGCGAAGGTAGGAGCTGACCGAGTGATGGGAAGCGCGCGAGCCCGGGCCAAGAGGTGAGGAGGTGGATGTGGAGCGGGAGGAGGGGCGGCGCGGCCCGGGGCAGGTGGCGGGCGGCGGGAGGCGGGAGGCGGGAGGCGGGAGGCTGGGGGCTCCGGGGGTGGCGACGCGGCCCGACGGCCGCCTCGGGTTTCGGGGGGCGAGCCACGGGCTGTCACCCCTCTTGGGGCCCGACGTCCTGTGGGTGGTCTCCGGACAGCCTGGTCCCCACCCTTGGGATCTGTAGGTCGGGGTGGCGATCCTAGACATCAGCCTGGGAGTTAGGCCCCGACGTGACCAGATGGGGAGATTGCTCTTCCCGGTGCGTGGGCAATTTGCTTTCATGAGGGTTGCTTTCTTCAGTTAACGAAGCCGTGGCAACTTCCTTACTCGTTTTCTTCACGTAGATTTTGGGGAAAAGACCTGCTTTGTATTTTTTTTTTTTTTTTTTTTTTTACCCCCACACCGAAAAGTAAATAATCCGGTTAGGGCGTTGATCATGGTGAATTGTGGGTGAGTTTGGTGAACGCTGAGTCTGGAATGTCATTTCGAAGTAAGTAAATGTGTTGCACACGTGAGGGAGGTGTGGTGGGTTCCGGGGGCAGCTGTGTTAAATAGCCTTTTTTTTTTTTTTCTTTCTTTTATCATAAGTTACCTTATTTGTTGAATGCAGCGTGTGCGTGTATTTTGCTCACCTCTGGTTGAAAAGAAGCAAGATTTCAGTGTTAGCTGAAAGTTTGGTATCAGTGGTGTCACACGTACACTCAAGCTGGGAATCGAATGTTCTTTCCCTAAGTAGGCTTAGATTGAATAGCCGGTATTTCTATCACTAGATTTCTTGTTTCTTGGAGAGAAATACTTTTTTTTTTTTTTTCTCCTCTCTCTCCCATTTTCAAAGTGTTGTGAGAAGAATTCAGCTTCTGATTCTACGCCGGACTTCCACATCTTTTAACGATGGCTATAATAATAATAGTCTCGCATGAGAAAAAATGCTCGCTAGAGATGCCAGTTAAGTGTAGGCTAAACAATCTTACTTGAATGAATGAATTTTTCATGGCTTAGCCTTCTTGATCCCTGCTGAACGATTTTTTTTTTTTTAATCATTTCATTCATTCATGTCTTCCTACGTGCAGGGCACTGTGCTAGGCCTAGGAAATCAAGAGAGAGACACAGTGTCTGTGCTTGTGGAACTTTCTCTAGTCTCACATCCTTTTTCCAGAGAACCTTGACTGAAGGGTTCCTCTTGCTGTCGTGGATTTCTAGTGAACCAAAGTGTGGCTTTTCATGAGGATAAGTTATTGTCAATGTTTATACATAACTGGCCTCTAAAGAGGAGTATATTGGGCAGCCCCGGTGGCTCAGCGGTTGAGCGCCTGCCTGCGTGATCCCAGGATTGAGTCCCGCGTCGGGCTCCCTGCATGGAGCCAGCTTCTCCCTCCTCCTGTGTCTCTGCCCCCCCCCCCTCTCTCTCTGTGCCTCTCATGAATAAATAAATGAAAATCTTTAAAAAAAATAATAAAGAGGAGTAGATTATTTTACTTGAACAGCATGACTTAATTGATTTTGCCTTTGATCAAAAAGAAAATATACAGGGCAGCCCCGGTGGCCCAGCGGTTTAGCGCCGCCTTTAGCCCTGGGCCTGATCCTGGAGACCCAGGCCGAGTCCCACTTCGGGCTCCCTGCTTGAGGCCTGCCTCTGCCTCTGCCTTTGTCGTTGCTTCTCTCTCTCTCTGTCTCTCTCTCTCTGTCTCTAAGTCTCTCATGAATAACTAAATAAAATCTTTGGGGAAAAAAAGTATACGATGACAGTGTTTTGCCAGTTAAAAATATTTTTTTTTAAGATTTATTTTTTTGACAGAAGGAGAGAGGGAGTTTGTGTGAGGGGTGGCAGAGGCAGAGGCAGAGGAAGAGAGAGTCTCAAGCCCACTCCCCACCGAGTGGGAAGCCCAGTGCATGTGACTGGATCTCATGACCCTGGGACATGACCTGAGCCGAAATCAAGAGTTGGCCACTTAACTGAGCCACCTAGGAGCCCTAGGAATAATTATATTTCTTTTTGCAAAGTACCCTTAACTAAAAAATTCACAATCAGAAGTCAGTTTCTACCTGAAAAAGACTTTATTTTTCCAGTTTTTACATTGGTCTCATTGGACCTCTGTGTGTTAATAACTTGTAATTCACAATAATTATATGCACAAAGCATATCATCAGAAATATGTATGGTACTCATTGACAAGTAAACTTTTTGCCCCATAGTGCCTCTCTGGGGAGGTAGTTAGCATAAGCTCTTTCAGTGCAAAGTATATCTTGATATAATGTGGCAGTTTTCAACTTTGAGAAGATATCTATCTGAAGTTTAAATTTTAACAAACACAAACATTTATGGAAAGAAAAAAATGCATAATTACCAAAGAGGAAAGAATAAGGTATCTTATGTATTTAGTAATTGTAAGAAGAAGGTAGGCGTTATGTGTCTATCTCATACATAGTTTTTTTTTAAAGTAGATACTTATTTATTACATCTTTTTGCCTAGTATAATGCCTTGCTTACAGTAGACAGCCCTATATAAATGTTCATTTAACATACACCATCTCATTTAAGTCCTCCATTTTTGCATGTAGATGAGCAAGTATGTTTGAGAATGTTCGCTATTTGGTCAGTTTCATTTTTCTGCTGTTCGCTATGATAATCTGCTTTACAAATTGTCTTATTTCTGAAACTCTGTTACTCAGATTTAATGCAATTTAATCCATCTTTGAATATTCTGGTTTAATTAGATCATTCAACCTGAAGGGGGTGTAGAAAATCATTTTGAAATCCTGCTTTATTTTATGGATCAGAAAGTTGATATCCAGAGAAGTTAGCTGACTTCTTATCATCAACAAAAATGTGACATCTGAACTCAGTTCTCCTTATTTTTATTTTACTTTCAACTATGTTATCTTGCTTTTCATTGTTATTTGAATAGACTAACTCTTGGGAAGTAAATTAAGATAGAGTCTCATTTTATCTTTCTGATTTGGGAATTTTGGGTTTATCTTCTTTTACTTTTGTGATTCACTCTTCAAAGAGAATTTGTAGGAAGTTCATTATCAAAGGTTTGAACTGAATGAAAAATAAGGGTGGAATTTGGAAGAAGTACATAATTTAAAAAGCTATTAACATGTAATAAATTTACAGGTAGCAGTAAGCATTGTCAGGATATGTTTTAATAAGATCATTGTTGAGAAATACTTATATATATATTTAAGATTTTATTTATTTATTCATGAGAGACACAGAGAGAGAGGCAGAGACACAGGCAGAGGGAGAAGCAGGCTCCATGCAGGGAGCCCCATGTGGGACTCGATCCTTGGCCTCCAGGATCACGCCCTGAACCGAAGGCAGATGCTAAACTGCTGAGCCACCTAGGCTTCCTGAAATACTTATATTTGATGGAGAGAAAGTTCATACCTACTTACTTAATAACTAAACCAAAGGTTTTCAGGTGTACTGAATCAAAATTTCTGGGCATGGTGTCTAGAAATGTCTAGAATGTCTAGAAATGCTAGAAATGCCAGTGATTCCAATGTAATCAATTCATATTGGAGAACTTTTACTCTAACCATATAATTCAAAAGCCTTTTAATTTTTAATTCTGTTCTATTAAAGCAGAACTTCAAAAGAAGGGAGGGATTTAGTCTCAGAATTATGGGTAATCAGGCAGTTGCTAATGTTTCCCAGCATTTTTATTTTTATTTATTTTTTTTAAAGATTTGTTTATTTTAGAGAGTGTGCATGCCTGTGCGTGTGTAGGAAGGAGGGAAAGCGAGAAAGAGAATCCCAAGCCCACTCTTCGCTTATCACAGAGCCCAAAGTGGGCGGGCCTCCATCTCAAAACTCTGAGATCCTGACCTGAGCCAAAACCAAGAGTCAGATCTTTACTGACTGTGCCACTCAGTTGCCCCAGTTTTCTAGCATTTTTAGAGACTTGCTAGGTCATTTTGAAATTAAGTCAGTGACTAGCAAGTTATTTAATTGTGTGTCGCTAAGACACATTGCATGTGATTTTGATAAAGGAAAACATATTCCATTCCAAGAGAGGAAATTCTTATTAATGAGACAATTTTCCTTTTTTTTCTTTTCCTCTTTTTTTTTTTTTTTTCCTATTTTGAATGTTGATCTTGAGCCTACAGTGAGAAGGCTGGCCCCAGACATCTCCAAATCCTTGTGTCTTTGCCTCTAATTCTTATGTGTCCAAAGACAAAGCCACACAGACACACCTGTTGTTGGAGGGTTCTATTTGTCTTTTTAGAAAAATTTCTTTATGTACTTTCTTGAGAGTCAGTAAAATGCCCAACAAGCCACTCAGATGAAGCACTATAAAAATGTTAAAATCTGCTCTTAAACATCAGCAGAGATAAATATACCTTCATCTTGATTTAAAAAACTTAATTCTAAAACACTACATAAATGACTTATAAGAACTTAATATGAAGATGATAGTTTGCAAAAAAAATAATTTCAGTGCATCTTTTCCCAGTGTGCATGCATTTTCTAAATTAGACCTGATTTAAGCAGTACTTTCAACACCAAGGGGGCTTGCTAAATGGCCTTTCTGAGCATTCTTTAAGGAATGAAGGAAACTTTGCAAAATATTAGCACTGTCTGTACTCTGCGAATGGGGAAACAGAAATAACTTAAAGATCACTTTTGAAAAGAATCACAGATTTAATTGCTGGCTTTGTGAGACTGTTCAGTGAATTGACTTGAAGCAAGGAAAAATACTAATACCCATGAATGCTGTCTGATCAGTCTGAAGTAAGCAAAGTAGAGGCCTTGTCATTGATTTAAAAAGCGAAAAAGTTGGTGTCCAAAGTTACTGATTTTGTCTATTAGCTTGGGAAAAAATTAGAGCTGTTAGGGAGTTTGTAAAATGATTGATACAGCTCCAGTTTTTCAGAGCTATTCACTTGGTATTTATTGAATATAATAAAAATGTTAGTTAAGAAATATCAGGTGACTGAAAGCTGTTCCTACATTCTTCTGTTATGGATTTCCTTCTGAGCCCACTCCTAGCCTAGGCTTTCTAGGTACTGTCAGCTTTTATCATTGCTTTTTGTTTTCTATTAGCCTGATATTTAGAACGTGCTTAAATATTAATTTTAGAATTACATTTCTGCATGTATGTTATTGAGTTCTTTGAGAAGAGTGGCATCATAAGTTGAGTAAATCACATTAGGTTTTTATTTTTGTGTTTGAGAAAATTTACTAGTTTGTAAAATATCTCTTATTCAAGACTAAAATAAATTAATGATTAAATTATGTGGGGAAAATATTTTTGAGGTCTTGAAATGAAGATGATGTAAAAAAAATTATTATATATATACATTTTTGTGTGCACACATATGTGTGTGTATTCAGATCTGTAAATACTGGCCCTTTTTTATGGCCACTTTGGCCATCCTTCCTGTCAGTCCATCCATCTGGCCATTACACAGGTACTTACTGAGGACCTGCTGTGCCCCAAACAGTATTTTAGATAATGAACAAAGCAAAATTCTCACCTTCATGGGGCTCATATTCTGTTTGATGAAGCTGATGAAAACACAGGAAATGTGTGTCATGTGATAAATGCCATGAAGTAAAGTGAGTTGGATGGAAGAGAAGGACCAAGAAAGGGGGTGCCATTTAGATAGGGTGATCAGAGAAGGCTTCTCTGGTAAAGAGACATTTGAGCAGAGACGTGAGGAAATGAAAGAGCTACCTATGTGACATGTGGGAGAAAAGTGTTCATGCAGAGATCTGTATAGTTACATCAGTGGAAAGAAGGCCAATATGGATGTCCCAATATAACAGGAGGAGAGTTACAGGAGATCACATCAAAATGTAAGAGAAAGTTAAGTTCTTTTAAGTCTTTTGAAGTTTACTCAGAGTTACGGGAAACCGTTGAAGGGTTTTGAGCAGAGAAGGAGTCACAGATGTTACCTGTTTGGGGAAAGAATCATTCTTGTTTATGTGTGGAAACTAGATTGTTAGAGAGTAAGGATGAAAATTGGGAGACTAGATAGGGGATTGTAATAATCACCAGGGAAGAAAGGGTGATAGTGAGAAGAGGTCAGATTCTGAAAATATTTTGAAGGTAGAGTTGGGAGAGTTTGCTGATGAGTAAAGCATAACTCCCAAGTTTTTTTGGCCTGAGCCAACAGGCAGAATGGAGTTGTGATCACTTAAGTGAGGTAGACCATTGGAGGAGATTTGCAGTGGAAGAGCAATTTTGATATTTCTAAGCTTGAGTTGACCCATTAGACATACAAGTGGAGATGTGAAAGAGCTAATGTGTATACAAATCTGGAGTATAGGAGAGATGTACAGGATGTGTAAGTTAAGAATTTGGAATTAGCATATAAGTAATACATAAAGACTTGAGACTGAATGAGATCACCTAAGAACAAGTGTAGCTGGAGAGCAGGTCTTGATCTCTGTTCTTGGGACACAGCAATGCTTAAAGGATAGGAGGATAAGGAGGAACCAATGGGAGAAAAAAGTGCCAGTATTGTTGGATAAAAAAAAAAACAAGAGATATTGGTGGTCTAGATGCAAAGTGAGGCAACTGTCTCTACAAGGGCTAGGTCAAAAACTGACCGGAATTAAACAGAACTGAGAATTAACATTGAATTTGGCAATGTGGAGATTATTTGTGATACTAATAGCTCTTGTGGTGAAACAGTGGAGCTAAAAGTCTGATTGGAGTGGAATTTTTTTGTAGATAAGCTGATAAGTAGGGTGTTAATTGAAGAGGGCTGTGGAGTCAGTGGAGGTTTTTAAGTATGGGAGCTCCTATACTGTATTTTTAGGCTTTGGAGATGATCAGTAGAAAAGAAAATATTAGTAATAAGGAGAGAGGGAACAATTTCACTTCAGCAATTTTTTTTAAAGATTTTATTTATATATTCATGAGAGACATAGAGAGAGGCAGAGACACAGGCAAAGGGAGAAGCAGGGACTCCAGGATCACACCCTGAGCCAAAGGCAGATGCTCCACTGCTGAGCCACCCAGGCGTCCCTCACTGGAGCAGTTTTATCACATATACCTATTGAGTACATTTTTCTTGAATGAATTAATGAATGAATAAAAAGTTTTCACCAAATGCTGTATATTTTTTATTGGTGCTGAATAAAAAGTGGGATAAAGAACTTGGTTCTTTTTCAGATATTTTGAAAACTGATTAGGTTTAAAGTCTTCCTTGGTTAGATTACCATCTTGGAGTTTACTTTTTGACCCTGGGGACCTGGTGTTTTTCAAGTCTTTACAAATAGTCTCTTAAGGTGTGCTGCTATGATGGGCTTATCTAATCTTTTACTTTGTATTCATTTTTTTTCCCTTTAACCTTTTATTTTTTTTTTAAATTTTTTATTTATTTATGATAGTCATACAGAGAGAGAGGGGTAGAGACACAGGCAGAGGGAGAAGCAGGCTCCATGCACCAGGAGCCTGATGTGGGATTCGATCCCGGGTCTCCAGGATCGTGCCCTGGGCCAAAGGCAGGCGCCAAACCACTGCGCCACCCAGGGATCCCCCCCTTTAACCTTTTAAAAAGACTGGTACCTATTTCAAAAATTTGGTCACCTGTTATTATCTATTCCCTTTAATGGCATTGATGCATAATATGTGTGGGAACATTAAACAAGTACCCAGATGCTCAGTGTTCAAATGTTCAGTCTCATTAACCTTAGAATTTACAGATAAGGGCAGCCAGGCTGGCTCAGCACTTTAGCGCCGCCTTCAGCCCAGGGTGTGATCCTGGATACCCCGGATCGAGCCCCAAACCCCGGATGAGTCCCACGTCGGGCTCCCTGAATGGAGCCTGCTTCTCCCTCTGCCTTGTGTCTCTGCCTCTCTCTCTCTGTGTCATTCATGAATAAATAAATAAAATATTAAAAAAAAAGAATTTACAGATAGTATTTTCTGAACATATGATTTGATGCTTTAAAACTATTATCTCTCTTAGCCTTCTGTATTTATTGAAACTTAATTAAAACTTTTAATTATGGTATATTTCAAGAATATGGGAAATTTCAGAAAATAAATTAACAAATGCTAATATACTTGCTATGCAGATTTAACAAGTTTAAATTTTTGCCTTATATGCTTCAGATCTTTCCCTTTTAAAAAATACTGCAATTTACAGGATATAACCAAGACATAATGAGGGGGTTGATGTGAAGAAATGAAACTGATTAACTTGGTGAAGAGAAAATTTAAAGTATGATGACTGGTGTGTTCACCTATTTTGAAGTCACTAATATGGAAAAGAGTGCTTAAATTTGATAACTTAAGTACAGATAGTTTTTTTAAAAAGTACATTTATGATCAGAAAGCAACATCTAGTAATTATTATTGTCTATATTTAGATGGGAATTTTTATAAAACATTGGAAGACATAGTTCAACTTACACAGATGTCACTTTTATTAAAAAAGCCAACAGATACTATGATTTTCCTAATATCTTCACTAAAAATTCTTAACCGGGAATTTTTAGAGAAATGACTACATTAGTATTTAAAAATTTAAGGTTACATGCTATAATTTTTAAAACATTAGAGAAAATGAATTTTAAAAATACGTTTGTAATGCTTTTTGAAGCATGGTGTTTCTTTCAGCAATTAGGTTTTAAAAAGGTAGGGGATATCATTGTCAAAGCCTGTTTTTCCTCTCAATTGTAAAATATATAATTTATTGCTAAAAAAAAAATGGCCTAGAAATTAGAATATTGGAAAGAATGAGAACTAATAGGCCTGACTCTTTCAAACAGTTTTTCTCAGTTTAGGAAGCTCTGAGTAGCTTAGAATGAAGTCTTATAAGGAAGTGATGGCTCAACTCAGAACAAAGCACAGAGAAAACATTCTCATGGACTTTGTCAGGGCATATTTCTAATCGATATCACAGCAAAGCAAAAGAGAGTGCTCTGGTTTTTTATCAGTAGTAAAGTTTTTATTCATAAATATTGAAATAAACAATTCAGACCTGAGTGTTAAATAATGGTCACTGGGATATGTTTTTTCAGGAAGATTAAATAAAGCATATATATTAAATGCAGTGTAGTAAAACCATAAAATTTTTACTCTTTGTGTATTTGTACATAGGAAGGCATTCATAATGCCTAGTGAGTTAGTAGCTGACTTTTCTGTTCTTATATTTTTTGTTTATCATATAAATTAATTTGAGTCCTGAAATTAGTGTTTTTCTCTGCTTGAGAAAGAGGGGTAGTGAGTGTGTGCCAACGTCTTTTATA